AAAAAAAAAAAAAAAAAAAAAAAAAAAAGATACTGTTATAAAGTATAATTGAGAAAGTACAGAGATTTCCCATAATCCCTGATCCACATACATAGCCTCCTCCATTATCGGTATATCCCATCAGAATGGTACTTTTATTGTAATTGATGAAACTGCATTGACACATCATTATCACCCAAAGCCCACGTTTACATTAGAGTTCAGTCTGGTAGCCTGCACAGATGTATTATAATGTATATCCACTGTCACAGCATAGGGGGAAAAAATCCTGTTTCATTTATTCGTCCCTCTTTCCCTCCAGATTTCTTGCAGTCAACTGATTTGTTTTTTAATTCCTTCATATTTTGCCTCATTCATATTATTATATACTTGGAGTCATACGTGTGTAGCCTTTCAGATTGGCTTCCACTGAGCAATATGCATTTAAGATTCCTCCATGTGTTTCATAGCTTGATAGCTTGTTTCTTTTTAGCACTGAGTAGTACTGCATTGTCTGAATATATTACAGGTTTTTTGGTACTAGGGATGGAACTTCGGCCCTTGTGCCTACAAGGCAGGCAGCGGAACCACTGAGCCAAATCACTGGCCCTATTACAGGTTTTTTTAATCCAGGTATCTTCTGAAGGACGTCGTGGTTTCAGGTTTTAGAAATTAGGAAGAAAGCTGCTATAAACATCCATGTCCAAGTTTTTGTGTGGACATAAGTTTTCAGCACCCTTTGGGCAAATTACAAAGGGCACAATTGCTAGATGGTATGGTAAAAGGTTTCACCTTGTAAGGAACCACCCAACTGTTGCAAAATAGCTGTACCATTTTGCATTTCCACCAGGAATGAATGAAAATTCTCATTGTTCTGCCACCTCACCAGCATTTGTTGGTGTAGGTTTTCTTAGATTTTGACCATTATAATAGCTTGTTACTTTTTAAAATTCAAAAAATAAAATTCAATTAAAAGTAAAATCAAGTCCTCTTATTTTGTGTAGTTGGCAAGCTTTAGCTCCTCTCCTCCTTCTTCATACCCTACCACTGTTGGCCCAGTGGAGAGCAGTGGCTTGAGATCCCGCTACCGTTCTTCACCCACTGTCTATAACTCACCTACTGGTAAGGAGGACTACATGACAGACCTGCGCACTCTGGACACTTTCCTCCGAAGTGAAGAAGAGAAACAGCACAGAGTTAATCTGGGTACACATATTTTATTTATATCTGGTGCACTTGACATAATTCTTTATCTGTTAGTTTTATAATTTTGATACCTGTGCATAAATTTGTATGTCCTTTTACAGTAGTTTATTTTAGGAGACAAACACATTTTGTATTACTTTATATGTTATATAATTTTAATGGTTAGAATTAACTTATCAGTTTTAAGAAGTAAAATATGGCTGAACTGAAAAATCTTAACCCTTTCATCTACAGTAAGATTAAAAGCCTTTTCATATAAAAGAAGTTATAATTTTTGTTTAAAGTTGAGGCTGTAAAACGCCTTTGAAGTGGCACATAGCAAAGCTTATTCAGATGATAGCTGTCTCTTTTTAGTAAGTCTTTTGGGAGGCTGGTGAGCAGGACAGGTGAGGAGAAAGCAGTATTTATCCTGAAAGTGCTGCTCTTTTTCAGAACATTTTTTAATTTGCCTTTTAGTATTAGACCATAGTTTACCATGGGAAACAATGTTAGCAAATTGTAATCTGTTTGGGGTGGATTTGATTATTATAAAGTCAATTATTTGAAACCAAATTAGGTTATTGAACCGAGTAATGATTTTTTTCCCTCAGGAAGTTTCATAGAAAACGCTTTAGGTGCTAAAGTCTGGCCGTGTTGGGGAAGCCAGGTTATTGGACCATGTCTCTTTGTGTTGTTTGAACTCTCTAGGGATTTTTAATTTAATTCTGCCTGAAAGTGCCACAAATGTCAAAGAAACAAATCAATATTATCTTATTTTTTATACATTTTTTATTTTTTAAATTTTGAAATATTTCAAGTCTACTGAAAATTAGAGTATAGCACAATGATCTCTATACATCTTTATGATTTTCAGACATAATTTTTTTCTTTGACCCATAGAAATTACTTAGCTGTATTACTGTTGTTTGAAAGTGATATTAGTGTTGCTTTTAATTTTCAAGGCTGAAGAGGCCTAGTTAGCTTTTTTCCTCCAAAGTTAATTATATTGTGCTTAGAGATTCTGATGTGTAAATGGTTTTCTCTTCTCTTTCTTTTTGTAGAACATAGGAAGCTTTGGTAGTTGGCTCTTTGAACTTGCTTTATGGCTTGCTTTGTGGTCACTTTTTTAAAAGTGATTTTTGGTATATTGGAAAGAATGCATGGTATCTAAGTTTTGGTTTGTTGAGTTAAGATTCTTGATGACTAACAACTGAAATTTAAATTTGTTATTTTTCTAGTTTTTATCTGATCTAGAAAGTTTATCAAAAGCTCCTACTGATTGTCTGTGTTTGTTTTGTTTTGTTTTGTTTTTGAGAAAGGGTCTGTGTAGGGGACTGGGGATTTAGCTCAGTGGTGCGGCCGCCTGCCTTGCAAGTGCTAGGTCCCCAGGTTCGATCCCCAGTACCAAATAACAAAACAAAACAAGCCTTTTAAAGTCAATCTGGTGGATTAAAAAAAAAAAATTCCAGAAAGAGTTTGTGTAATTCAGGCTGCTTCCCCAGTGCTGGGATTATAGGTGTGCTCTCACATCTGACTGATGGTCTTTTATTAAATATTTCCTCATAAGTTCGTCAAATTGCTAAATACATGTAAGATTATGTTAGGTGCATATACATTCAGAATAGTTAAATCATTCTGGTAAATTATCTTTTACTTTTTGCCACAAATCTGTTTTGTCTGTCATTAATATAGTACAGCTATACTAATATCTTTTGGCCAGTATATCTCTCATCCAAGCACTAACCAGGCCCAACTCTGCTTAGCTTCTGAGATCAGACAAGATCAGGCACATTCAGGGTGATATGGCCATAGACTGGCCAGTTTATCTGTGTCCATCCCTGTTTTGTTTTTTTTGTTTTGTTTTGTTTTTTCTTTTCTCTTTTTTGGTGGGGGATCAAACCCAGGCGTGCTCTACCACTGAGCTAAATCACCTGACACTTTTTTTTTTTTTTTTTTTTTTGAGACAGGGTCTCACTGTGTAGTTGAGACTGACCTGGAACTCACTATGTAGCCCAGGCTGGTCTCTTAACTCCTGCTTCAGCTTCCCAAGTGCCACCACACCCAACTTTTAAAATTTTATTTTGAGGAAAGGTCTTGCTAAATTGCCCAAACTGAGTTCAGATTTGCATTCTCCTGTCAGCCCTCCCTAGTGCTGGGATTATAGGTATGTGCCACCATAACTGGCCCATTAACCCTTATTTGCCCTTAGGTTTTAGGTAATTGCATTTTATACAAATTAATTTGTAAATAATAAGCATTTTGTGGGGACTGTATAAATATGTATCCTGTTACTCATAAAATTTTTGTCTTTACTACTAACATCTTTTTAAGAGTCTGAAAAATGTGGCTGGTGTGGTGCACACCTATAATCCCAGCACTCAGCAGGAGTATCACCACAAATTCAAGGCTAGTCTGGGCTACATAGTGACTTCAAGGTCAGCCTGGACTACACAGCAAGACTCTGCCTCAAAAAAAAAAAAGAAACAAAGAAAATTAATTATAGCCACAAGATTGTGGTAAAATTTACATAAGATTTGTCCCTATAACCTTTTTTTTTTCTTGGCAGTTCCAGGGATTAAACTCAGGACCTTGCACTTTCTAGGCAGGTGCGGCGCCACTGAGCTAAATCGCTGGCCCTTTCTCTAACCTTTTTCAAGGATATAATTCAGTGATAATGTTTATTCACATCATTATGTAACCACATTTTACACTTACTTGTTGTCGTTCTACTGTAAGATAAACTTTTTCTTCTCCAGTGCTCGCTTCGGCAGCACATACACTTTTTCTTCTCCCTAGTTACGTAATTTATTTTGATGATTACATGTCTGAAATTAAGCTAGTGACCTCCCCTTTAAGCTGACTGCTGTTTTCTTTGTGACATGACCCTGTCGTTCTTTGAGCACAATCACCAACACACCATACACACACACAGATACACATACACACATACTTTCTAGCACTGTAAAATATTCCAGGCTCCTATGCTTTCCTGGCTGGCTTTGGTGTCCTCTGTTTTTCCCAGGAGCCCTGTTCCTTAAGTGGAGATGCTATTTATTTAATATCTTGTTTAAACTGGCACATGCTTATAATCCTAGCACTGCGGAGGCTGAGGCAGGAGGCTGAGGAAGGAGGATTGCTGCAAGTTTGAGGCCAGCCTATGTTACAAAGTGAGTTCAAGGCAAGCTTGAACTATATAGCGAGACACTGTCTCGTCTCAGAAAAACAATCTTAGGAGAAAGAAAATACATAAAATAAAATTTCAGGGATGTTTTTATTTATTTGTTTGTTTGTTTGTTTTATTTATTAGACCCCCAGTACTGGGGCTTGAACTCAGGACCTTGTGCTTGCCAGGCAGGTACAGCACCACTGAGCTACATACCCCAGTCCCCTCAGGGAAGTTTTTAAAAATCTCAACATCTTAAAGCAAGCTTCTTTAATCCCTTGGTACTCTAACAGGTCCTTTTTTCTTACCACTAAGGATATGGCCCTTTGTGATCCTGGCCCTATGCTGAACACCTGGAATAATACACTTAGGATACAGGTCTCAGTCCAGCTCTCCACCTCTTTCTGGCCCAAATCCTTATCTCCAGTTCCCTCTTGAGCACTGTAAGAAAAGCGGTAGATTTCTCAAGGCCCACACAGTTGTCTAGAGCAGCCACCCTGTCAACTCACTAATTGATATTCCCTCTGATTTTCAGTTCTCTCTTCATTTTTAGCCACTGACTCTTCATACCTTGCCTTTTTACAAGATCCCTCATTCATTCATTTATTCATTTAAACAATGCATTTTACTTAATAAACATTTTTAGATATTCATTGTAGGTGCTTTACATTATATGGTTTGCTCCATTGCCAGATTTCCAAATCTCTCTGTGCTTTGATTCTTAGGTCTTTGAGGTTCTTCAGTCATATATCCTATGCTATTTTAGAGATGATGGTAGTAGTAATGGTGATCATTGTAGAAAGTCCCTATTTTGTCACTGCTTGCTAGATACACAGCATTTACTTAGGCTAATGCACAACCAATGTTAAACTTCAGCTTCTATTCATTATCTATCTCAATCTTTATTGAAATTTTTATTTAAATTTTTTTCACAGAAAATTATCTTTAACTTTAGTCAAAACAATTAATCAAAATTTAAAAATCATACTGTATCATGACCATATTTCTTACCTTCTGATTTTGTTGTCTATGTATTAAATCACTTGAGTTGGTTTATAGCCTCTTTTCTTGCCATTAATTCATTCCTATATGTCAATTTTATCAGAAGTCCTGCTTGGAAATTTAGCTTCACGTTATACGTGACATTTCTTTATTGTAGAAAACTATATTTTTTGCCTTCATGAAACATACCCAAGGACAAGATTGGTAACCTTCAAGGTTTTGGTGAATTGAAATGCTCTCCCATATCCCTCTCATGATTTCTCATCCTTTATGGCTATGAACATCACAAGAAAGCTAATTTTATTATAGTCACTTCTTTTAGAACTCTTGTTAAGGTTAAAAAACAAAAAACAAAAAACCTAGCTCGTGTTTGTGATTTTTTATTGTGGATATAAAGTATCAGTTGGTATTTCTGATGTCTTTTAAACCTTGGAAAAATTAGCCCAATTGTAATTGTCATTGAAAACTGATTTATTCAGGCCCTGAGAAGAAAGTAACTCCGTGCCCTCAGGGAATTCAAATTGTTTTTGGAAGACAGACCAAAACTGTAACCCTCACATGTGACAAGTACAGTACTATCGCAGAGGCCTCTGTAGAAGGAAGTTCCAGAATGTCAATTTTTTACATTTCCTAAAAGTAAATTTATAACTATGATCAATAGGTAGTCTGTTTTTTGGTTGGTTTTGTTGTTGTTGTTGTTTTGTTTTGTTTTGTTTTATTTCCTTTTTTGGTACCAGGAATTGAACCTAGGACGTTCTCACTGAGCTAAATCCCTAGACCCCCCATTTTTTTTCATTTTCATTTTCATTTTTTATTTTGAGCTCTCATTTCCTAAGTTACACAGGCTTGGCTTGAACTTGTGATCTTCCTGCCTCAGCCTCCCGGAGTGGTGAGATTATACTTGCACACCACCACACCTGGCTCACAGAGAATCATTTAATCAATAAAGAAATTCTACAAACTAATAAAACACAATCAGTGCAGGGACATAGCCCATAGAATAGTTTACTAATAGGAAGCTATAGTTATTCCATTTAGAATGCCCTTCTAAAAAGTCAAAGTTTTAGGAAATTTATGAAACCAATGGTGTGTGTCTGTGTCTGTGTCTGTGTCTGTATGTTGCAGTGCTGGGAACTGAACTCACACATGCTAAGCAAGCACTCTACCACTGAGCCACATCCCCAGACCTTTTTGTTTTCTCTTTTTCCTGGGCTAACCTCACACTTGTGATCCGCCTGCCTCATCCTCTTACCGAGCTGCAGTGACAGGCATGTATCACCATGCCCAGCTAAAACAAGGTTACTCTCACAACAGATACAAGCACATTTTGAACCACTAGTAATTCTTACGGTTCTTATTGATACTGCTCAGAAAATATTCTTTTAATTTTGAACAGAAGGAATCCATGCTCTCTAAAGAAGAATGGGGGGATGTCTTCAGATGGCTTGATTGCCATTGCCTAGGAATCTAGACACCCAGTGTTTGTGGGTTAGCACTAAATGGGAAAGTTACCACAACTGAGTGAACTCTTTCATCATTTTAGGAAGCCCAGATTCTACCTCTCCTTCCAACAGCCCTACTTTTTGGAACTACAATCGTTCTATGGGAGATTATGCACAGACTTTAAAGAAGTTTCAGTATCAACTTGCCTGTCGGTCTCAGGCCCCCTCTGCTAACAAAGATGAAGCTGATCTCAGTTCTAAGCAAGCTGCGGAAGAGGTAAATGGAAAATAAAAATTACTTAATATTTATAATTTTTAGATTGCTAGTCTTCTAGAACAATTTTTCTTTAGTCTCCACTTTTACTGGACAGAAATACAAATCTGGCACTCATTAGAAACAGTGGAAAGCCGCCTGTCTTGTGTTCTTAACACTAAATTTTGTTGTACATTTTACTGTATGACATATAAGGGACATTAATGTCCTACCTAAAATATTCTACATTTATTATAGAAAGGCTCTCAGATATCTAATTGCACTTAGCATTTACCAGGCTCTTGGTTTTTAAACATGTGGATTAGAACATTTGGCAATCTGTAACTTTATCATTTTAGTACTAAATATGGGATTTTTATTTTATTCTTAAAAGCAAGAGAAATATTTGCATATGAACAACTCACTAGGTAACAAAGAAAATTACTGAATATTGATATTTCTGAAGATTGTTTTTTGGGGGTGTGTTTTTAGTACCAGGGATTGAACTTGTGACCTTGCGCTTACAAGGCAGGCGGTGGAACCATTGAGTGAAATCCCCAGCCTTGAAGATTGTTTTCGAAGTTCATCAAATGTTTTTGAGAATGTAGGGAAGAATGATGATTTCTGGCAGGATTTTTTCTCATTGATTATTTACCTTAAACATTTTTTAATAGGTTTGGGCAAGAGTGACAATGAACAGACAACTTCTTGATCATATGGATTCATGGACAGCTAAGTTTAGAAATGTAAGTTCACTTGTGTCTCCCTGGCTCCTTTAAGAACAGAGTGTTCAGTGATGTGGGGATTAAGACCAAGAGCATAATTAAATTTCACCTTCCCTCCAGCTGGTTCTTTGAAGCTCCCTGCCCCCACCCTTTTTGCTGCTTTCTTCCGTAATGGATAGAAAAATTATTCCCCAAAGCCCTCATATAGACCACAGGTTCTCTTTCCTCTGCACTCATCCTTGAGGAGGGCAGCACCTCAATGTGAATGCCTGGGAGCTCAGAGTAGTGACAGGGACAGGGACAGGAAGATCCCCCTCAGGGAAAGGCACTAAGGAGTACAGCACAGTGAAAGGAGAACTAGAGGTCTTCTCTTTCCTAATTTTTCTGTTTTCTTTCCAAAAAGCTTTTCTGTCATTGTCTGTAATGTACCTAGAATTGTGAGGGAAACAAAAGGGGATCTATGCCTTCTGAAAACTAAATAGAAAAAAGATGATACTGTATTACTTGAAGCTACTTCAGAATATATGTACTTTCAGATTCTCTAGGGAAGAGCCATCTGTTTGACTTGGAAGTCAGCTCTTCTACTTTTAGAGATGGATTCCTGGGTTTTCACCCAGCATCCTCTCCTAATGTCTAGCACCTGTGTATCCCAGGCTATGTAGGCAGATTAGCGCCACTTCCCTCCATAGAGGTTGCCACTGCTTCACCCTTCAGTGTTCATTGTCCATTCTACATCTTTTAGAACTATACTGAAATCACTTTTAAATAAGCTATCATGAGTGAAGGTTAAAAAGTGGTAGAAGCCAGGATGGCATTTTAACAATTAAATTTTCACGTGTGGTTCTAGCTACTTCAGAAGCTGGAGCAGGATTCCTTAAACCTGAGTTCAAGATCATCCTGGGCAACATTGTGAGGCCCCACCTGAAAAAATGTAAATAAATAAAAGGTTAAAAGAAAAGCCTGGTATGGTGGCTCATACCTGTAATCCCATCACTGGGTTGAGGCAGGAGGATTGCCATGAGTTAGATGCCAGCCTGGGCTATATAGTGAGTTTAATGCCAGTCTGAACTGCATAGCAAAACTCTTGTCTCAAAAAACAAAAAGAAACTGCCACTCTTGTTTAAATTTATAATAGGCCAAGACATAAACTGAAATAGAGAAAAATTATAATAGGCTAGGTACATTGGCATATGGCTGAAATCCCAACTACTCAAGAGGCTGAGGTAGAAGAATCACAAGTTTGAGGCCAGCCTGACAACTTGGTGTGACAAGGTAGGAATACAGCTCCATGCTAGAGCACTTGCCTAACATGTACAGGCCCCTGCGTTCAATCCGCAGTACTACAAAAAATAACAGGAAGCAAATAAAAATTTCTGAGCCAATTCCAGAACTGCTCATATTTCTGGGAGTGAGGCCTAGATCTGTTTCCTGGACAGCGTAGATGATTTTGTTGCAGCCAGTGTGTAGCTGGCAAGTAGGTCAAGTGTAATAAATGTTAGAAGAATGAATGAGATGCTGACCTGGAACTATTTGCTTTTGTCTTTTCTGTTATATACTGGTCTAAAAATGCTAATATATTTAAAAAATACAAAGTTTTTTCAAGAATATTAGCTACCTAAAAACATGGCTCTTCATCTGAATTTCTTAGGCTACTGTTCTGAAATTGAGAGTTTTTTGGATTTTTTTGAAACATTATGTATCGGTCATAATTTTCCAGCACCCAGTAATCAACAGCACTAACATTTCTCTAGCAACGTATATAGATAATCAAATAAATGGGATAAAATTATAAAAAGTGTCTTTCACTATATTGAATTTTGCTTGGTGTATGCATTACAAAGAAGCTTTCAGTTTTGAGAGATTTGTTTTTTATTTTGGGGGGGTTGTTTTGTTTTTTGGTGTTTTTTTTTTTTTTTTTTTTTTTTTGGTACCAGGAATCGAACTTGGGTCCTTGTGCTTGTGAGGCAGGCAGCAGCACCACTGAGCTAAATCCCCAGCAAAAGGGACCTCAATAGCATCTTTCTGCCCTTTTATCTTTTTTGGTCGGGGGGATCAAACTCGGGTCCTTGCGCTTGCAAGGCAGGCAGCAGAATCGGAGGTTTTGAATTGAAACTTGTTTATAAGGAATTGTGGTCTTCATCAGAAACATTCTCTAATTATTTCACTATTACGGTTAACAGCATGAAAATAAAAATGTTGGTTGCATTTGCTACATAGACAAAACAGTAATACACAAACATACTGAACAGACTTTATTTGGATAGTCTTTTTCACATCCGAGATTATTCTGATACTGTAGAATATGGCATTTAAAATTCCTAGTCTGCTGCCCACCTCCCTCCCTCTCCCAGTATTGGCAATTGAACTTTGAGTTATGTTACCAGCAGCCCTTTTTTATTTTTTATTTTGGGACAGGATCTTGCTAAAATATGCTAGCTGGGCTTGAACTTGTTATCTTCCTGTCTCAGCCTCCCAGACTCCTTGTATTACTGGCATGTGCCTCTATGCTTGACTCCCAGTCTTAAAGTAGTACAGTATTGTAATATTCACAAACTGATTCCATTATCTGCTTTCCCACATGTTTAGCAACTGGCGGAGCCTATTGTGAGTTAATCAGTTGTGTTAGTTTGAAAACTGTCTTATTGATTATAAACCAGTATAAACTCTACACCAATAAATATGTAATTATAGTACTCTAGAAATATATAAACTGAAGGTTATCCTTTTTGCTAAGGAGAATTATCAGTAAAGGAATTTTTTTTTAATTTAACATATAGAAAGTTATTTTCTTTAGAAGGAATACATATGATTGAGAACATAATCTAGCTCAGTACCTCCAGTCAGTGAGGTGGCACATGCCTATAATCCTAGCACTCTGGGAGGCAGAGGCAGGAGGATCACAAGGTAGAACCCCACTTGGGCCACTTAGTGACCTAGATCCTGTTTCCAAAAAGGGGGCAGACCAGGTGGGTAGCTCAGTGTGAAGGCCCTGGGCTCAATCCCCACTAGCCAAAACAAAACAATATTATCATTCCAGTATTATATTTATTTGATTTTTCTGGAGCCTTCGGGTAGCTGCTACTTCCATTCTCTTTTGCTGTACTTTACAGTTCTGTTAATATTCAAATACAAGGCAAAAAAAAAAGTTCTTAAAGAGTTTCTTCTAGAAATGAAATTATTTGAGAAATACTTTGGAGTTATGTATGCAAAATCTATACCTTGTTTCTTCCTAGTGGATCAATGAGACAATATTAGTGCCGCTTGTACAAGAGATTGAGTCTGTCAGCACCCAGATGAGACGAATGGGTTGTCCAGAGCTGCAGATAGGAGGTATGTGAGCTAGAGCCTAGCATGTGATTAACTTTTTTTTTTTTTTCGGTACCGTGGATCAAACTCAGGATCTTGCATTTGCCAGGCAGGCACAGACCTGCTGAGCTACATCTCCAGCCCTATTTTACTTTTAGTAAACCAGCCAAATGGAAAATATCTCTTTGTAATGGGCTATTTAACAACTTCTTTTGTTATCTTCAGTTGAGGGGAGGGGATCTAAATGTCTATAATACTGGGCTTTTTAATGTAATACCTTTATTAAGATATAATTTACTATTTGCCCTTTTAAAGTGTGCAGTTCAAAGGTTTGGGTTATGCAACCAATCATAATTTTAGAATACTTTATAACTGAAAAAAGAAACTCCATACCCTGTAGCATGCCCATTTCTCTTCCATACATTCCCTCCAGCCCTGTGCACCTGCCTGTGTTTGCTGTTTCTGTATATGGGCCTGTTTGGGGTATTTTATATAAATAGTATTCAATGGTTAGTCCTTTGTAACTGGCTTCTTTCATTTAACATAATGTTTTTAAGGTTCATCCTTAAATGTAAAAATGTGGTAGCATTTAACAATACTTCATTTCTTTTTGTTGTTTTGTTGTATTTTTTGAGACAGTATTGCTTACAGCCTAGACTGGCCTCGAACTCACTGTGTAGCCAAGGCTGGCCTTGAATTCACAGTAATCCTCCTGCCTCAGCCTCCAAATGCTGGGATTGTAGGCATGTATTGCCATACCTGGCTACTCATTTCTTTTTATGGCCAAATTATCTAAATGTTTCTTCCACAATTACTTTTTTCATGGTGGATCTTACATCCTAAGGGTCTCAGTGAGGCAAAATTGGCTCTTTATTTTTTTAAATGTATTTTATCTTATTTTATCCTATTCCCCCCTAAAACTCCCTCCCCTCCCTAAGTACAGAAGCTTTGTTTTCATTTTTTTTTCTTGTCCCTTTCTTCCTCCCTCCCCCAGTTCCCCTTCCCATTGGAACACTTTCTTCTCATTTCCAACATCCATTATACATCTCAGTCCTTATTTCCACTTTGTTTTTTACACCAGAGAAACAGTGTGGTATTTAAACATGCTTTCACAAGTTGTTTATCCGATCATGAGTTAACTACCATTTGGCTTATTTCCACTTTGTGGCTGCAATGAATAATGCTGCTGTGACCACTCATGTATAAGTGTTTATGCAGACTAACATTTTAACTTCTCTTGGGTACATAACTAGGAATGAAATTGCTAGGTCGTATGGTGACACTGTGTGACCTTTGAGGCACTGCCAGACTTCTAAAACAGCTGTACCACTCTCTGTTCCCACCATCAGAGTGTGAGGGTTCAAGGTTCTCCACATCCTGCCCAGCAACTGTATGTCTCGTGTAGTCATTTTAGTTGATGTGATAAATTGTAGGTAAAGTAGATAATGCAAATTAAGATAAACTATTATTCCTTTCATATATTCCTTCAACATTTATTGAGTACCTACTGTGTACTAGGTATTGTTCTAGGCATACAGCATGAGGGATGCAGTAGTGAGAAAAAAATGACCCAACCTATGTCCTGATTCCCATTTTCTATCTGGTAGATGAGACAGATAGTAAAGATAATGTGGTTAAGGGGCCGGGGATTTAGCTCAATGGTTCTGGTGACTGCCTCGCAAATGGAAGGACCTGAGTTTGATCCCTGGTACCAAAAAAAAAAAGATAACATAATGCTGAGGAAGAAGAACAATATGCTGAGGGGTGTTACTGATGTTTCCAGAGGAAGGTTGAAATCTTGAATGTGTCTGGGAAGATCACTGGCTTGTGTAAGGACGGAAGCCAGGGAGAAGCCTGCTGTTTGAACACAAGAGGAAGGGCATGTTAAATTCTCTCAGAGTCCCTTGTGAAGAATCATCTGTGTTCTGTATTTGTTTTGTTTTGAACAGAGGCTAGTATTACTAGCTTGAAACAAGCTGCCCTCGTCAAAGCCCCTCTCATTCCGACTCTGAATGCAATTGTGCAGTATCTAGACCTCACACCGAATCAGGAGTATTTGTTTGAAAGGATCAAAGGTAACTTTTAATTTAACGGGGAGATGAGATCTTTTTCATGACATTTGGATCTTATAAATGAAAGCTAACAAGAGAAACTTTTCGGAAAACTTTAAAAGTATAATTATGGGCCTCACATGAGGGCGCTTGCCTATAATCCCAGCACTCTCAGAGGCTCAGGCAGGTGGATTTCAAGTTGGAGCCCAGTCTGGGCATCTTAGCAGCTTACTAGGACCCTGTTTGAAAAGTGAAAAAGGTTGGGATGTAGCTCAGTGAGAAGGCCTGGAGCGGGGGGCAATATAACTATGGTCTTATATTTTATAAATGTAATTTAATTATGATTTAATGAAGGTTTATATTTGAACAGCTTTTGTATACTATTTTACGTGCTAAAAATTGTCAAAATAACACCTTTAATATGTTAAAGTAAGAATTCTGTTAGAACTTAAATAGGAGCTATATAGACTCGAGTGAATAGCTTTACTCATTTTGATGTTCAGACCACCAAGAATGGGTACCACTATGATGTTCTTTCTCAACATACTGCTCTTTATTTCTTTTAATATTTGTAATTCCTATTTACTATGTAGCTTCTTTATATTTCATGGTGTGGGAGAAATGTGGTCATCTGAAGAGACTGACTTGGAATCAGGAAGTTCAGCCTCCCTGACTCCTGTTCACTCTTTATACCTCTGTACTTAGAGAACAGTTTATAAAGTTAAAATTCTTTTTAGTTTGGGTAAACTTTGTAAAATGTTTGTAAAACCTAAAACCGGTTTTAAAAACAGTATTTCAGGCTAGGCATAGTGGCGCTTACCTGTAATCCCAGCACTTGGGAGGCTGAGGCAGGAAGATTACTGAAGAGTTCAAGGCCAGCCAGGGCTATATAGTGAGTTTAAGGCCAACCTGAACTGCACAAGAGCCTAGATTGATTTAAAAGTACAAAAAAGATAAAGCCTCTCAGAAGTGCAAGGTCCTGAGTTCAGTCCCTGGTACCAAAAAAAAAAAAAAAAAAAAAAAAAAAAAAAAA